GCATTGTCACTCAACACCAACCGGAGCTATGTAACATAGCCTCCGTCCTCATCTTAACACTCATAGCTACAGTGATAAAGTTACAGTGATATACACTGGGAACTGTATCTGAGATAGTTCCTCAATAAATATATAACAGACAATTGGGTTTGGCTACTAAAGCCCTATATAATATACATGTTCCAGCCTCATTAACCCAGAAGGAATCGACGGTTAAAGGGCCAGTTCATCGCCACCGCGCGGTACAACGTTTAACCCTTTGCCACAGGTTTTTGACCAGGCTGTATCAAGTAAATAATGGTATTTTGACTTACTCATGTAATATACATATATTTAAAAAATACCATCAGACCTTTTGGCCTCAGACGGGTGATTAACCCCCAGCTAATACAACAACTAGAGAATGTAAGGTCAAATTATTTTATTTTCTAGATGTACTGAACCAAGCGAAGGTAAGGGAGGACCCGTTAAAACGGTCATGAGGAACATTTTATATCAGTGTTTACCTTAAAGTAGATAACCAGGAGCTAAGGTGTACAAATAACGCTTCTAAAAGACACACATTGATGACAGGCAATGATAACATAGTGTAAATACTTTGACCAGTTTTAAATAATTATATAAACTAAGTCACCAAGCCCTACACCACGTCACCAAGACCTACACCACGTCACCAAGACCTACACCACGTCACCAAGACCTACACCACGTCACCAAGCCCTACACACGTCACCAAGACCTACACCACGTCACCAAGACCTACACCACGTCACCAAGACCTACACCACGTCACCAAGACCCACACCACGTAACCAAGACCCACACCACGTCACCAAGACCCACACAACGTCACCAAGCCCTGCCACCGGGATCTACACCACGTCACCAAGCCCTACACCACGTCACCAAGCCCTACACCACGTCACCAAGACCTACACCCACGCCGTCACCAAGCCCTACACCACGTCACCAAGCCCTACACCACGTCACCAAGCCCTACACCACGTCACCAAGCCCTACACCACGTCACCAAGCCCTACACCACGTCACCAAGCCCTACACCACGTCACCAAGCCCTACACCACGTCATTAAGTCGTCCACCACGTCATCAATTCATCCACCACGTCATCAAGTCGTCCACCACGTCATCAAGTCGTCCACCACGTCATCAAGTCGTCCACCACGTCATCAAGTCGTCCACCACGTCATCAAGTCGTTCACCACGTCATCAAGTCGTCCACCACGTCATCAAGTCGTTCACCACGTCACCAAGTCGTCCACCGCGTCATCAAGTCGTCCACCACGTCATCAAGTCTTCCACCACGTCAACAAGTCGTCCACCACGTCCACCCTGTCATCAAGTCGTCCACGTCACCAAGTCGTCCACCACGTCAAGTCGCCGTCCACCCGTCATCAAGTCGTCCACCCGTCATTGTCGTCCACCACGTCCACCTCGTCATCAAGTCGTCCACCACGTCACCAAGTCGTCCACCACGTCATCAAGTCGTCCACTCCGTCATCAAGTCGTCCACCACGTCACCAAGTCGTACACCACGTCCACCTCGTCATCAAGTCGTCCACCACGTCACCAGTCCACCGTCCACCACGTCATCAAGTCGTCCACGTCATCGAGTCGTCCACCACGTCATCAAGTCGTCCACCACGTCATCAAGTCGTCCACCAAGTCATCAAGTCATCCACCACGTCATCAAGTCGCCCACCACGTCAATCGTCAGTCCACCACTTCATCAAGGTCGTCCATCACGTCATCCACCGTTCGGCTAAGTCGTTCACCACGTCATCGTCGTCCACCACGTCATTAAGTCGTCTACCACGTCATTAAGTCGTCCACCACGTCATCAAGTCGTCTGCCACGTCATCAAGTCGTCCACCAAGCCATTAAGTCGTCCACCGCGTCATCAAGTCGTCCACCTCATCATCAAGTCGTTCACCACGTCATCAAGTCGTCCACCACGTTACTAAGTCGTCCACCACGTCATCAACTCGTTCACCACGTCACCAATTCGTCCACCACGTCATCAACTCGTTCACCAAGCCATTAAGTCGTCCACCACGTCATCAAGTCGTCCACCACGTCATCAAGTCGTCCACCACGTCGTCAAGTCGTCCACCACGTCATCAAGTCGTCTACCACGTCATCAAGTCGTCCACCACGTCATCAAGTCGTCCACCACGTCATCAAGTCGTCCACCACGTCATCAAGTCGTCCACCACGTCATCAAGTCGTCCACCACGTCACCAAGTCGTCCACCACGTCATCAAGTCGTCCACCACGTCATCAAGTCGTCCACCACGTCACCAAGTCGTACACCACGTCCAATTTCGTCAACAAGTCGTCCACCAGTCCACCACGCCGTCATCAAGTCGTCCACCACGTCATCGAGTCGTCCACCACGTCAATGTCGTCCACCACGTCATTAAGTCGTCTACCACGTCATTAAGTCGTCCACCTAACCTAAATCAATAATAACCAATACAACCTAAACCAACCATACCAATTCATAACCCAACTCAACCTAACCAATAATAACCAATAATAACCTAAACCAACCATACCACTCATAACCTAACCTAACCAACCCAACCAATAACAACCAATAATAACCCAAACCAACCATACCACTCATAACCCAACCTAAACTAACCTAATCAATAATAACCATAATAACCCAAAACCAACCATACCACCATAACCCAACCTAACCTAACCCAACCAATAATAACCAATAATAACCCAAACCAACCATACCAATCATAACCCAACCTAACCCAACCTAATCAATAATAACCAATAATAACCTAAACTAACCATACCACTCATAACCTAACCTAACCTAACCTAATCAATAATAACCAATAATAACCTAAACTAACCATACCACTCATAACCTAACCTAACCAATAGTAACCAATAATAACCTAAACCAACCATACCACTCATAACCTAACCTAACCTAACCTAATCAATAATAACCAATAATAACCTAAACTAACCATACCACTCATAACCTAACCTAACCTAACCTAATCAATAATAACCAATAATAACCTAAACTAACCATACCACTCATAACCTAACCTAACCTAATCAATAATAACCAATAATAACCTAAACTAACCATACCACTCATAACCTAACCTAACCTAACCTAATCAATAATAACCAATAATAACCTAACTAACCATACCACTCATAACCTAACCTAACCTAACCAATAATAACCAATAATAACCTAAACCAACCATACCACTCATAACCTAACCTAACCTAACCTAATCAATAATAACCAATAATAACCTAAACTAACCATACCACTCATAACCTAACCTAACCTAACCAATAATAACCAATAATAACCTAAACTAACCATACCACTCATAACCTAACCTAACCTAACCTAATCAATAATAACCAATAATAACCTAAACTAACCATACCACTCCTAACCTAATCAATAATAACCAATAATAACCTAAACTAACCATACCACTCATAACCTAACCCTAACCTAACCAATAATAACCTAAAACTAACCATACCACTCATAACCTAACCTAACCTAACCTAACCAATAATAACCAACCAATAACTAAACTAACCATACCACTCATAACCTAACCTAACCTAACCTAACCAATAATAACCAATAATAACCCTAAACCTATATTTACTCATAACCCTAACCTAACCTAACCTAACCAATAATAACCAATAATAACCTAAACTAACCATACCACTCATAACCTAACCTAACCAATAATAACCTAAAATAACCTAAACTAACCATACCACTCATAACCTAACCTAACCTAACCAATAATAACCTAACCTAAGCTAACCAATAATAACCTAAACTAACCATACCACTCATAACCTAACCTAACCTAACCTAACCAATAATAACCTAAAATAACCTAAACTAACCATACCACTCATAACCTAACCTAACCTAACCAATAATAACCTAACCTAACCATACCACTCATAACCTAACCTAACCTAACCTAACCAATAATAACCTAACCTAACCATACCACTCATAACCTAACCTAACCTAACCAATAATAACCTAACCTAACCTTACCACTCATAACGTAAGCAAACACAGTAGTCAGAGAGTGGCTGGTGCGGAGAATGATGGACAGTTGAGAGGGGCTGGGGACGATACCATCTTCCCTTTCTCCGCCCTTCCATAACAAATATCATCTAAACTTCTAAAGGTAATAATCACTTCCACAATATCTATTTCAGTTTCTTCAATATTTGTTTATTTGTTCCTTTTCAATGGAAAACGGTCGTAGTAACGTAAAGAAAAGGAACACGTTTTTTACTTGGTGATTCTCAACTGGGAAGAACCAAACCAAACCTTTTTTATCGTGTCCACAAAAGACTACTGTACTGTACAGCCACTGTATTAATCATCAAATATTGACCCAAATGAAACAGTCCACCAAACTAACAATGATCCAGCCTTCTTCTTCTTCTTCTTCTTCTAATAATAATTAATTATTATTGCTATTACATTATTATTATTATTATTATTTATATTATTATTATTATTATTATTATTATCATTATTATTATCATTATTATCATTATTTTTATTATTATTATTATTATTATTATTATTATTATTATTATTAATTATTATTGCTATTACATTATTATTATTATTATTATTATTATTATTATTATTATTATTATTATTATTGCTATTATTATTATTATTGTTATTATTATTATTATTATTATTATTTCACCCTTCATAACTTTTATTAGTATTCATCTTAAGTATCACAATGTAATACAGTCAACAGTACACGTTGATCCACCTGCAGGTTGGCTGGTAACAAACTTGTACTGTTGACTGTACATCATTAATGTTCCTCGTGCAGTTTAGTATTTCATCATCTTGACGGCCTGGATCATCATACAGTAATATAAAAGTTGTGTATAATAAATAAATGATCAATACAAAGTAGGAGTCTGTATCTTACCTGTTAACTGCCTGTAGTTGTTGAGACACCTGGACTGCCCAGTCTATGTGTGCAGCATCAACCCCGGAGAGGAACAGATCAAGCCATTCAGCGTGTGGCGGGGAGCCAGGCAGTAGTGCTGGAGGAACCCCCGCGGGTACATGCAGCTCTGAAAATAATTATCATACTAGACAGAAGAAGTATTACTGACAGGTGTAAGACGGTGGCGTCATAGTGACGTAATTGTACCTTCTGCAGCTTTACTTTTCCACAAAGACGAGTCACGACTTTTATTTCTAGCACACCCACGGCCTTCACCAACACTGTCACTCTCTGACCAACACACCCACGGCCTTCACCAACACTGTCACTCTCTGACCAACACACCCACGGCCTTCACCAACACTGTCACTCTCTGACCAACACACCCACGGCCTTCACCAACACTGTCACACTCTGACCAACACACCCACGGTCACTCCTTCACTTCAACACTGTCACTCTCTGACCAACACACCCACGGCCTTCACCAACACTGTCACTCTCTGACCAACACACCCACGGCCTTCACCAACACTCACTCTGACCACACCCCGGCCTTCACCAACACTGTCACTCTCTGACCCAACACACCCACGGCCTTCACCAACACTGTCACTCTCTGACCAACACACCCACGGCCTTCACCAACACTGTCACTCTCTGACCAACACACCCACGGCCTTCACCAACACTGTCACTCTCTGACCAACACACCCACGGCCTTCACCAACACTGTCACTCTCTGTCCAACACACCCACGGCCTTCACCAACAACAACAGAGGCATCATCTTAGTTTGGCTCACTCCTATGAACTGGAACCAGCGGCGGCCGGGTGCAAGGTGACCAGATTTTATAATCACCAAAGTTCTTGATCCAGGAAGAAAAAGGTGCAAAATGGCTATATTTTACCTTCGGAAGGAATTGTTCTCAGACTTTTTCAGTTGGTATTACAATGACTTCTGGGGTTATATTCCTTTATTTTGTGACCTGTGCTGGCCTGCATGGCAACTGTTTACACAAATGGTCCATAATACCTTCACCATTCAATAATTATGAAAGTCTATAATTCAATTAGACAATACTAAATAATTTACTTGGACATTATATGCATGAGTTGTACTTCTCAAACAGTCACTAAAAGGTCACATTTTCCACAAGACTCGCTATGCTTCTTGAGACCTTCCCGGGAAGCGGCGTGCACCTGAGGAACGAGGATGTACTGAAGCTGTAGTCCGGCAGAGAAACCTTAAGTATTTACAGTCAGTAGGTACCCGTGTGGGTAATGAACCGTACCAAGGGTAAGTTGCTTCTATTCTTATATGCGTGGTGTTCGTGGTGCTGGATTTGTCTATATGAGAAGCTGTACTGATACAGGTCATGTATTACTCAAGAGAGATTATTCCAGGCTTGTGTGACTCTTGATGTTGGTTGATGGTCCGGTGGCGTGATATTTGTATTCATGGCCTCTTGTGGTTGATGGTCCGGTGGCGTGATACTTGTATTCATGGCCTCTTGTGGTTGTTGGTCCGGTGGCGTGATATTTGTATTCATGGCCTCTTGTGGTTGATGGTCCGGTGGCATGATATTTGTATTCATGGCCTCTTGTGGTTGTTGGTCCGGTGGCGTGATATTTGTATTCATGGCGTCTTGTGGTTGATGGTCCGGTGGCATGATATTTGTATTCATGGCCTCTTGTAGTTGATGGACCGGTGGCGTGATATTTGTATTCATGGCCTCTTGTGGTTGTTGGTCGGTGGTGTGATATTTGTATTCATGGCGTCTTGTGGTTGATGGTCCGGTGGCGTGATATTTGTATTCATGGCCTCTTGTGGTTGTTGGTCCGGTGGCGTGATATTTGTATTCATGGCTCTTGTGGTTGATGGTCCGGTGGCGTGATATTTGTATTCATGGCCTCTTGTGGTTGATGGTCCGGTGGCGTGATATTTGTATTCATGGCCTCTTGTGGTTGTTGGTCCGGTGGCGTGATATTTGTATTCATGGCGTCTTGTGGTTGATGGTCCGGTGGCATGATATTTGTATTCATGGCCTCTTGTGGTTGTTGGACCGGTGGCGTGATATTTGTATTCATGGCCTCTTGTGGTTGTTGGTCCGGTGGTGTGATATTTGTATTCATGGCGTCTTGTGGTTGATGGTCCGGTGGCGTGATATTTGTATTCATGGCGTCTTGTGGTTGATGGTCCGGTGGCGTGATATTTGTATTCATGGCCTCTTGTGGTTGTTGGTCCGGTGGCGTGATATTTGTATTCATGGCGTCTTGTGGTTGATGGACCGGTGGCATGATATTTGTATTCATGGCCTCTTGTAGTTGATGGACCGGTGGCGTGATATTTGTATTCATGGCCTCTTGTGGTTGATGGTCCGGTGGTGTGATATTTGTATTCATGGCGTCTTGTGGTTGATGGTCCGGTGGCATGATATTTGTATTCATGGCGTCTTGTGGTTGTTGGTCGGTGGCGTGATATTTGTATTCATGGCCTCTTGTGGTTGTGTAGTTGGTCAGGGGAGAAGTCCGAGCACTGACCCTTGAGGAACACCACTTGTGACAGGTTTCCATCCATTCACCACTACTGTACTCGCTGTCGTCGTTGTGTAAGGAATCCTTCAATACATTCCAGTACATTACCTCTTACCCCAAGTGAACTCAGCTTTAACAGCAGTCGGACATGAGGGACTGTGTCGTCTGCTTTTGCATAATCTAAAAAGATTATATCGACTGGAATACCATGACTCAAAGCCTGTGTCCAGACATCAAGTGCTTCTATTACCGTTCTCCCTCGACGGGTATTAGGCATTGTCACTCAACACCAACCGGAGCTATGTAACATAGCCTCCGTCCTCATCTTAACACTCATAGCTACAGTGATAAAGTTACAGTGATATACACTGGGAACTGTATCTGAGATAGTTCCTCAATAAATATATAACAGACAATTGGGTTTGGCTACTAAAGCCCTATATAATATACATGTTCCAGCCTCATTAACCCAGAAGGAATCGACGGTTAAAGGGCCAGTTCATCGCCACCGCGCGGTACAACGTTTAACCCTTTGCCACAGGTTTTTGACCAGGCTGTATCAAGTAAATAATGGTATTTTGACTTACTCATGTAATATACATATATTTAAAAAATACCATCAGACCTTTTGGCCTCAGACGGGTGATTAACCCCCAGCTAATACAACAACTAGAGAATGTAAGGTCAAATTATTTTATTTTCTAGATGTACTGAACCAAGCGAAGGTAAGGGAGGACCCGTTAAAACGGTCATGAGGAACATTTTATATCAGTGTTTACCTTAAAGTAGATAACCAGGAGCTAAGGTGTACAAATAACGCTTCTAAAAGACACACATTGATGACAGGCAATGATAACATAGTGTAAATACTTTGACCAGTTTTAAATAATTATATAAACTAAGTCACCAAGCCCTACACCACGTCACCAAGACCTACACCACGTCACCAAGACCTACACCACGTCACCAAGACCTACACCACGTCACCAAGCCCTACACACGTCACCAAGACCTACACCACGTCACCAAGACCTACACCACGTCACCAAGACCTACACCACGTCACCAAGACCTACACCACGTCACCAAGACCTACACCACGTCACCAAGACCTACACCACGTCACCAAGCCCTACACCACGTCACCAAGCCCTACACCACGTCACCAAGCCCTACACCACGTCACCAAGCCCTACACCACGTCACCAAGCCCTACACCACGTCATTAAGTCGTCCACCACGTCATCAAGTCGTCCACCACGTCATCAAGTCGTCCACCACGTCATCAAGTCGTCCACCACGTCATCAAGTCGTCCACCACGTCATCAAGTCGTCCACCACGTCATCAAGTCGTTCACCACGTCATCAAGTCGTCACCAGTCGTCGTCACCACGTCACCAAGTCGTCCACCACGTCATCAAGTCGTCCACCACGTCATCAAGTCGTCCACCACGTCATCAAGTCGTCCACCACCCGTCATCAAGTCGTCCACCTCGTCATCAAGTCAGTCCACCACGTCACCAAGTCGTCCACCACGTCCACCTCGTCATCAAGTCGTCCACCACGTCACCAAGTCGTCCACTTCACGTCATCAAGTCGTCCACCTTCGTCATCAAGTCGTCCACCCCGTCATTGTCGTCCACCACGGTCCACCTCGTCATCAAGTCGTCCAACACGTCACCAAGTCGTCCACCATATTAACAAGTCGTCCACCCTGTCATCAAGTCGTCCACACCACGTCACCGTCGTACACCACGTCCATCTTCGTCATCAGTCGTCCACCACGTCACCAAGTCGTCCACCAGTCCACCACGTCATCAAGTCGTCCACCACGTCATCGAGTCGTCCCACCACGTCATCAAGTCGTCCACCACGTCATCAAGTCAGTCCACCAAGTCATCAAGTCATCCACCACGTCATCAAGTCGTCCACCACGTCATCAAGTCGCCCACCACTTCCATCAAGCCGCCCATCACGTCATCCACCGCTCATTGTCGTCCACCACGTCATCAAGTCGTCCACCACGTCATTAAGTCGTCTACCACGTCATTAAGTCGTCCACCACGTCATCAAGTCGTCTGCCACGTCATCAAGTAGTCCACCAAGCCATTAAGTCGTCCAACGCGTCATCAAGTCGTCTACCACGTCATCAAGTCGTCCACCACGTCATCAAGTCGTCCACCGCTCATTGTCGTCCACCACGTCCACCTTCGTCATCAAGTCGTCCACCACGTCACCAAGTCGTCCACCACGTCAATCAAGTCGTCCACTCCGTCACTTAGTCTGCCCACCACGTCACCAAGTCGTACACCACGTCCACCTCGTCATCAAGTCGTCCACCAGTCCACCACGTCATCAAGTCGTCTACCACGTCATCGAGTCGTCCACCACGTCATCAAGTCGTCCACCACGTCATTAAGTCGTCCACCACGTCATCAAGTCGTCCACCGTCAATAAGTCTGACCACGTCACCAGCCGTCCACTCATTAGCCATCAAGCCGTCCACCTCATCAAGTCATCCACCACGTCACCAAGTCGTCCACACCACGTCCACCCCGTCATCAAGTCGTCCACCAGTCCACCACGTCATCAAGTCGTCCACCACGTCATCGAGTCGTCCACCACGTCATCAAGTCGTCCACCACGTCATTAAGTCGTCTACCACGTCATTAAGTCGTCCACCACGTCATCAAGTCGTCTGCCACGTCATCAAGTCGTCCACCAAGCCATTAAGTCGTCCACCGCGTCATCAAGTCGTCCACCTCATCATCAAGTCGTTCACCACGTCATCAAGTCGTCCACCACGTTACTAAGTCGTCCACCACGTCATCAACTCGTTCACCACGTCACCAATTCGTCCACCACGTCATCAACTCGTTCACCAAGCCATTAAGTCGTCCACCACGTCATCAAGTCGTCCACCACGTCATCAAGTCGTCCACCACGTCGTCAAGTCGTCCACCACGTCATCAAGTGCCTAAGAATCATGTTATTATTGGTGCCATAAGGATGCTGTACCTACAACTGTACTAGTTACCCCTAACAAGACATTTTCTCTCACTCTCACCACCAAACAATATGGCTCACATGTATTTATAAATGCGTTTGTTCATAATGACCGTTTTAATATTAATGTTTAGCTAAATTATATAAAGATACATACATTAATTATTTCAAACATGAACACGTAGGAAGTTTATCAGAAATATTATACAAGAATTAACTGATAAACTCTGGTAGCAAATTGACGCTTTCGGAGGACGCATTTGATATTTATTTGATACTTATTTTTACCCACAATAAGATATACTAATTACGCTTCAGTAGTATTTCAATGTGATTCTTATCTTTTAAAATTAAAGTTTTTGCATTATGTAATATTACTGATAAGTAATTAGTCTTAGTATGTCTTATTATGATAACAGTAAGTATATATTAAATGCGTCCTCCCAAAGCGTCAATTTGCCACCAGAGTTTGACAGTTAATTCTTGTATAATATTTCTGATAAACTTCCTACGTGTTCATGTTTGAAATAATTAATGTATGTATCTTTATATAATTTAACTAAACATCTTTATTATAAAACGGTCATTATGAATAAACTCATTTATAAATACATCATTACTTGAGGAGGAATGTGAACCAGCCATCAGGTGTAACTGTTGAGGAGGGCCGGGGGAGGACGCCCTATAATATATGGCGTTAAATACTGAACAAAAGTAATGTTTTCTTTTACAGTGTTACATATATGTCCTCTTAATGTAACAGCCTCAACACTATTATGGTTAAATAAACAAATTACATTTGATAAATACGGAAAATATTAATGTATAAAACACACACACACACACACACACACACACACACACACACACACACATACACACACACACACACACGCACACACACGCACACACACACACACACACACACACACACACACACACACACGCACACACACGCACACACACACACACACACACACACACACACACACACACACACACACACACACACACACACACACACACACACACACACACACACACACACACACACACACACACACACACACACAACATAACACTCACCGAGCCAGTTCAGTCGTACACGTGGCCACAGAGAGGTCACCGCCGGGGCCAGGTCGGGGTCCTTGTCAGTTATCACCAGGCGGAGGCCCCTCACGGTGTGTGGCAGCGACCTAACAGCAGCACCACTCAGCTGACCCGTGAACCACCTCACCCGACGCCTGCAGCTGTATAGATCAACAGTTGTGTATAATAAGGATCGGGGTCCTTGTCAGTTATCACCAGGTTGAGGACCAACACAGTGTGTGGCAGCGACCTAACAGCAGCACCACTTAGCTGACCCGTGAACACCGTCACCCGACCCCTGCAGCTGTATAGATCAACAGTTGTGTATAATAACGATAAGTATTGCTGGATCACCTCAACACCTGTAGCCGTATAGATCAACAGTTGTGTATAATAACGATAAGTATTGGTGGATCACCTCAACACCCAACCCCTGCAGCTGTATAGATCAACAGTTGTGTATAATAATGATAAGTATTGGTGGATCACCTCAACACCCGACGCCTGTAGCAGTATAGATCAACAGTTGTGTATAATAATGATAAGTATTGCTGGATCACCTGGATGCCTCAACACCTGACCCTGTAGCCGTATAGATCAACAAGTTGTGTATAATAATGATAAGTATTGCTGGATCACCTCAACACCCGACACCTGTGGCTGTATAGATCAACAGTTGTGTATAATAATATTGAAACATGGATCACCTCAACACCCGGCATACTGCATAACGCTGTATAGATCAACAGTTATTATAATAAGCCAGTAAAATATTGCTGGATCGCCTCAACACCTGCCCCGGCCCCTGTGGCTTATAGATCAACAGTTGTGTATAATAATGATAAGTATTGCTGGATCTGCCTCAAATCCCAGCGCCTGTGGCACATATAGATCAACGGTTATTAATATAATAGCCAATAAATATTGCTGGATCACCTCAACACCTGACGCCTGTAGCTGTATAGATCAACAGTTGTGTATAATAATGATAAGTATTGCTGGATCACCTCAACACCCGACGCCTGTAGCTGTATAGATCAACAGTTGTGTATAATAATGATAAGTATTGCTGGATCACCTCAACACCCGACCCCTGTAGCTGTATAGATCAACAGTTGTGTATAATAATGATAAGTATTGCTGGATCACCTCAACACCCGACCCCTGTAGCAGTATAGATCAACAGTTGTGTATAATAATGATAAGTATTGCTGGATCACCTCAACACCTGACGCCTGTAGCTGTATAGATCAACAGTTG